AACACATAAAGTTGAAATGGATATATGTACACACACACACATATATATATGTCTCCATTTACATAAAACTACTCTGTTTTGTCTTTTAAAAAAATATTTATTTATTTTTATTGGAAAATCATATATGCAGCAAGGAGGAGAGACAGAAAGATCTTCCATCTGCTGGTTTACTCCCCAAGTGGCCACAACAGCTGAAATTGAGCCGATTGGAAGCCAAGAGTCAGGAGCCTCTTTCAGGTCTCCCACACAGATGCAGGGTCCCAAGGCTTTGGGCCATCCTTGGCTGCCTTCCCAGGTCACATGCAGGAAGCTGGATGGGAAGTGGAGCAGTTGGGATAGGAACTGGTACCCATTATGGGATTCCAGTGCAGGCAACCAGGACTTTAGCCACTAAGCTACTGCGCTAGCCCTTGATTTTGTCTTTTATCACTTAATAGCTCTTCGAGATCTCTCCATAGATCTTGCAAACCTACCCCAACAGTGGATCTGCCACCTTCTTTGTAACTATTCCATAATATTCCATTGTGTTGATAGTCTAACTGTAGTTTTAAAATTGTACCTTGAGCTTCTATCTTCTCCATAATGTATCTGTGAACCCTTATATACATAAATCTTTGAATCCTTCTGCAAATGACAAAAACAACGTTGTACGAAACTGGTCATTAATAAATTGTCTTCCAAAAAGTAAGTTAGCTTTCACTAATATGGACACTCTGCCAAAGCATTTGAATGGACCTGATTCTATCTCAGACTTTTCTGATGATGAGCATTTTGAGTTTACAGGTCACCTGGAGGTTATCTGCAAACAATCTGTTCCAACTTTGGCCCCGTTTCCCTCTGGTTGTTGCCTTTGCCTCATGGGTTTATATGAGGCCCTTAGTGACTTCCGTAAACCTTCGCTGAGCCTTAGTCTCAAAAATCCACAAGAAATCTAAATAGATAATTTTTTGAAAGAAGACGTGTACAGGGTTAAGAGGGTACCTGAAAAATATTCAGCTTAGTTAATCACCAGGGAAACATAAATAAAAACTACAATGACACAATACTTCATTCTTGTTACTATGGTTATTACTAAGAAGACAAAAGTGCCAGAGAGAATGTGGAAGAAAGGAACACTTATACACTGTTGATGAAATGTAAATTAGTAAGTCATTTTGGAAAATCAATATGGAGGTGCCTCAGAAATTTTGACACATGATTACAGTATGTTCCAGCAATTCCACTACTAGGTATAAATCCAAAGGAAATGAAACCAATCTGTCAAAGAGAGTGCTGTGCACCTGGTGGTTGCAGCAGAACAATTTATATTAGTCAACAAATGAAATAATCTGATGTCCATCACAACAATGCGTGAAGAAAATGTGATAGATGCACGCCACGGCATACTGCTAATCCATAAAAAAGGATGAACTGTCACTTGCAACAACATGGATGGGACTGGAAGTCATTTTTTTTAGGTCAAATGAACCTGGCACAGTGGTGAATACTGCTTGTTTTAACTCATATTTAGCATCTTAAGTTGCTCTCATAAAAATCAGATATTAGAAATATAGTGATGGTGGTTATCAGAGACTGGGGAGTGTAGAAGGGCAGGGATGTTGGGAGTAAAGATTCCATAGTTACTAAGTAAAAGTGAGGTAGAAGTAAGAATTTCTGGAGTTCTATCGTACATATATTTAGAATATTTTCCTTCCCCTTTTTTGCTTTTGTTTTCCTTTCCTTTTCCCGTTCTTTCTTTCCTTCCCTTCCCTTCCCTTCCCTTTTGCCCTTCTGTTCCTTCCATTCTTCATTTCCTCTGTCTTAATGCTCATTTAATATTACACAATGTATGTATCTATCAGATATGTAAGATATATACATGATGCCCTATACATATATTCAGTTTCTACTTACCAGTTAAAAATTTAAAATATGAAATATATATTGTATAAAATGATCATTCGGCTACTGAAGCTCACATCTGTATAATTCCTGTGCATGAACCACAGGTGGATATTTTCTTACTCCTTTCTCTGTAGTATAATCCTTAAGCAGCAGTGGGCTCATCTTCCTCACCACTGTAACCCTATCATATGCCTCCATGCCAGGCTAGTCATATGTGCCCAGGCACAGGTGAATCAATGAATGAGCACTGAATTATCCACGTGTGTCATAAATTTATTAGGTTATTTGTTCATAATATATTTTACTGATAGAAATTTTGACTCAATCCCTTCTCTTTTATTATTTCTGAACATTCCTCACTTGAGTTTAAAATAAATGTATGCTTTCTTTGTGAACTTTTAGTTCTACCAAAAGTCCAAATCTTAGATCTCCATAAAATTTATTTGTGTATAAAAGTGAAGGATCTAGCATTGATTTTTGTCCTTGGTAATCAGGTAGTCCATTGTCATTCACTCAATCCTCTCTCCTGCATTGGTGTATCATTTCTTGGTTCATTTTTCAAATGACCATAATTGCTGGTCCAGGCAGAAGCCAGGTGTCCAGGGCTCTCAGTGGATGGCAGGAGACTGAGTACTTGAGCCATTCTTTACTGCTTTTCCAGATACATTAGCAAGGAACTGGACCATAAATGAGGTAGCCTGGACTTGAACTAGCACTGGGATTCGACGTACTAACATTGCGGGTGGGGCCTTAGTTGGCTGAGCCATAGTGCCAGCCTCTGCTGCCTATTAATAACCAAATGATAACTTACTTACCTGTTGACTTTGAAAGTTGTCAAACATTCAGTAACTGAATTTTACTAACATCTTCATTTACTGATGCTAAAGTTTATTTGGTTAAACATTATCCTTCAAAAACATCTCACTTGATAATGTCCAGAACTTCTCTCTCTATATCCCACTAAAAAGAAAACACAGAATTTTAATAAAAAGACAAGAGAAACAATTAAAAAAGAGAAAGTACAGGCCAAGTGTTTACAGTACTAAGAGATATAAACAAAGACGTTTGAAACCAGAAAGTGAAAGGCCAGTCAGTGGTCAGTGACTCAGTACAAGAAGCAGGCACAAGCGGGTTAAAGTGCAGGAACTGTGGGTCCTGGTTCCTCTGAAGGCCAGAGAGGAAAGCAGAGGATGACTTGGAAGCTAAATGAGGAGCTATCCCATCCCTAGATCCCTTCCCTCAACACATGGAGTGCTTCAAACGAGCAAAGGGTAAGGGTACTCCGGGGCTGGGGGAGTTGGGTAGAGGTGGAGGTAATAATAGAAATAGGAGTCTTACTCACAGAAGGAAGTAAAAAATCAATGTAATTTAAAAATATGAAATAGCAAACCTGCCTGCTGTGAGGGATGTAATTGACAGGTATAACAGCACCCAGTTATTAAAACTGGTTGCAGGAGTTGGGGGAGAGGGAGAGAGCTTTTACTTGGGTACACACCTCAGTAGTGCCAGTTAATAGTACAGATGCTTCGAATTCTTTTTTGAGACAATGTGCATACACTGGTAAACATGAAAATCAAAGGACTTTATGGCATTGTGGGAAAAGTGAGATTCTGACATAATGGTTGGCATCTAAGTGCTTAACAAATGCTTGCTGAGGGCCTGGCGGCATGGCCTAGTAGCTAAAGTCCTCGCCTTGAACGCCCCGGGATCCCATATGGGCACCGGTTCCAGTTCTGGCGGCCCCATTTCCCATCTAGCTCCCTGCTTGTGGCCTGGGAAAGCAGTTGAGGACGGCCCAAAGCCTTGGGACCCTGCACCCATGTGGGAGACCTGGAAGAGGTTCCTGGTTCCTGGCTTCAGATTGGCACAGCACCGGCCGTTGTGCTCACTTGGGGAGTGAATCATTGGACGGAAGATCTTTCTCTGTCTCTCCTCCTCTCTGTATATCTGTCTTTGTAATGAAAATAAATAAAGCTTAAAAAAAAAAACCCAAGCAGATGCTTGCTGAGAAAGTGAATATTTGAAAACTTCCTGATTGTCCCTTGTGAATGCTATAGAGGAGACAGTATTAAATAGTGTGCTTTGGGGAGCGATGAGCGGTAGATTTGGAATGTAGCAGCTTAAGGAACAAGTCTTTGAAAACTAAAGAGTATTGGGTAGCCTTTTAATACAGTTTTTAAAAACAATATCAGTCTGAATCTTGATCGTATTTTACACTTGTCAGCATTTTAGGGGCTAATGAAAACCACCACCACCATTTTTTATAGGTATGTATTTATCAAGATATGACAATGTTTTCTCTGCCAGAAAATCTCTGTGACTCAGGGTTGGATTTATATTTTGGATTCATTATTCTTTTTTCTTTCTTTCTGCTTTTTTTTTTAAATGTCTTTGAAATGGGATTAAAACTCAAACTGGTAGTTAGCATCCTGGACAAAGTGCTTTGGTATAATGCTGTAAACACAGTAACTGAGTCTGGAAGGAGTGGCCTCTCGGGGGAAGATAATCGGAGTGTTAGAAAGTAGAGATTTAGCTATAGGAATGTGAGTTATTTAATTGAAGTATCTACTTTAGGGAGTCCAAAGTTCCGTGGGAGCTAGAAGCAATTATTCCACACCTGACAAGTGTTTACTGTCCAGGAAGGCTGGTGTTTTACCAACAGAACTGCGCCACAGAATTGAATCCAGGTTTCTATTCATAAATGTCACCATGATTGTATTAGCAAGGAAATGCTAGTGAACTGCCCCAAATAATATCCTATGATATTCCTAAAGGAACTAATCTAATGTGTGTTTCTTTGTAAGACACAGATGACTTCGATTCCCATTGTGTTTCCCCCGTGTGTGTGTTAGCCCTCAGTCTGGACTCCTGGCCATGGACATGGACTTTTTAATGGAACAATTTTATGCTCACCAAGCTATTCTGTTTTACTAAGCCACAATTATTTTTTGCTACCTACTTATATGCGAAAATAAAATCACATCCAAATAGTACTTAAATAAAAATTTCAAAACTGAAATATTATGCTAACTAAGGTTAAATATGTAATTGATTTGGTGTCTCCTGTACAACTCTGTTAATTGAAAACCATATTTTTAAACTTTTATTGTTCCTAGAGTGAATTACTGGAACTTAAGCGACAGCAGCAAGAGGAAGAAAGAGCCAAAATGCACCAGTCTGAACAAAGGAGGTACAACTGGCCTATAAAATAAGCATTTATAGTTAAATCAATTACATATAAGATTTTTGCAATGCTTTAGGAAAGCACTATAGTTATACTAAATATAATTTCGTAATCCATATTACATTTATTTAAGATTTTTCTATAATTTATTTGAAAGACTGAGAAAGAGGGAGAGGAAGTTTTCGTCTCTTGTTTCATCCTCCAAATCCCCACATGGCTGGGACGGGGCTAGGCCAAAACAGGAGCCAGAAACTCAGTGAATGTCTCGCACGTGGTTTGCAGGGACTCAGGTGCACGAGCCGTCTCCTGCTGCGTCCCAGGCTGCATATTAGCAGGAACTAGGGATGTGATAGCTAGGAGTGGACGAGGCACTTGAACTCAGATCTGATGTAGGGTATGGGTGTTCCAAGGAGAGTTTTAACCATTAGGTTCAATGACCCATGTGATCTTTAAATCTTTCTTATTAGGGAATAGTGTATGTGTAAAATATACACACTGCTGCGTATCTGTGTATACATATATGTGTGTCCATACACAACTACAGGCACACAATTTCCAATTTTCCTGATTAAATTGCATGTTAAATTCATGTTAGGAAATTGACTCGTGCTCCCCCAAGGTATGTGTTTATTTAGGTGATTCACTTTGCTTTGCATGGGGCAAAGCACTATAACCCTTTAGAATGATGCTTTGATATTTGCAAGCCACTTTAGGAGAACTGAATTAGTATAGATAGTTTGATATTCATGCTTGAGTACAAAAGCTGAGACAAAAATTCACTAAATCATTATATAGTGACTAACACATTAAGGGAAAAAATCTTAAGATAGAACCATTAAGTAATTTTGATAGTGTCAGTATTCCCTGTCTTATCAGATCATGTAGGATGTTAGTCATGGAGAGCCCCCATAGGATGTTACTTTCAAAGTCAGTGCCATCAGCCAGCATATTTAAATAATATGTTGCATATTAAATAATATACTGCAAAATAATCTCTGCATTGTTTGAGATAAATCTCTGTCTTTTGAGGGCATGCTTGAGTGTCTTGGGGAGTTTAATGGAAGGGCTGTTGTGATTTATAGGAGCAAATTGTTTTGCATGTGAATATCATGTCTTACGTATAGCCTTCTTGCTATCACTAAAATGTGTTGTTAAGCTATGATGGTTTCATTTTGAAAATAAGGGACTTTACAAAATGTTGGGTGGAAGCACCCAATTCTGACTGGTCTCATTATTCTGTACAGACACTTATGTTCTTTTGACCATGCTGCCACCATAGTTCAGGCAGAAGAGTTTTTAAATGTTGTACATGAATACACATGTTCATCTTTGGTTTAATGAGCATCAAAGCTCTGGCCCTCGGGTTGGGCTCTTTTGAGGAGTTAGATTTTGGGGAGCACTTTAGGCCTTGAACCTTTTTTGCCCCAATTAAATTTGTAAGGATTGTCAAAATTAAAAAACTAAAAAAAAAAAAGATTTTGGGGAGCAACAAGACTGCTGGCTGCCTATTTATTATAAACTAAACAACAAATCAGTCTTTTTAAATTGGCTTCTATTTTGTTTCTGAAAGGCTTTCTGGTTTTTTTTTTGTTTGTTTGTTTTTTTAAAGCCTTGGTATGGAATTTACATAATGTTGTTTGCTAGTAGTAACTCATTATTCTCTGGGTTTCTGAGGATTAATTGGGTTGTAAGACTTTAAATTTGTTAAAGATAGCAATATGTTGCATTAATAGATGCCATCACTAATAACTTAATTTTTGATGGGTGCCCAATAAAAGTCCAAGTAAATCATTTGTAGGAAAATGATCACTTTTTGGCATAGGAATGTATATATAAACAACTATATATATGTATATATATAATTTTTTTTTTTTAGTTATTTATTTGAGAGTAATGAGACAGAGAAGCAGACACAGAGGTGTTCCATTTTTTGCTTCACTCCCCACATGCCCACAGTGACTGAGGCTGGACTGGGGCTGAAGTGGGAGCTGGGATGCAGTGCAGGTCACCCGTGTAGAAAGCAAGAACCCAACTCCTTAAGTTACGCCCTGTTACCCCTCTTACTCTCATGGTTCACATTAGCAGGAAACCGTAGTTATGAAGCAGAGTCTAAGCTGAGACTTGAGCCCAGGCACTGCAGTGTGAGACGTGGACATTTTTTTTAAACTTTTTTTTTTTAAATTTGAAAGTCAAATATACAGACAGGAGAAGAGAAAGAAAGGAAGATCTTGTGTACAATGATTCACTTCCTAAGTGGTTGCAATGGCCAGAGCTGTGCTGATCTGAAGCCGGGATCCCAGAACCTCTTCCTGGTTTCCAACGCTAGTGCCTGGTCCCAAGGCTTTGGCCTATCCTCCACTGCTGTCCCAGGCCACAATTAGGGAGCTGGATGGGAAGCAGGTTGCCGGGATTAGAACAGGTGCCCATATGGGATCCTGGCACATGCGAGACAAGGACTTTAGCTGCTAGGCCACCGTGCTGGGCCCACTAAGCCAAAACCCACCATCCACTCCATTTTTGAAAGCTTGATTCTCAGTTTAAATTTTATTTTCATGCCACTAAATACCTAAAACTAGTGGAGCTATTTATTTTGAATACCTGATCTTTTTTTGTTTGCTATTTTTTTTTTATTGATTAAGTTCAAGGTAAATCTAGATTCAATTCATGATGAAATTTCTCTGGATAGGAAACTTAGACATTAATTCTGAAATTACTCACCAGGATTTAATAGATGGCTATTCTATTTCCTTAGCACATCTTTTGAAAAGAGCTTTCATTTGTGTTATAGTTCAAGTTTACAGTGGGCATTCCCATGTTATATGACAATAGTCAATAAATTCTTGTGGAAAACTGCCATGTCTAGAATTTCTTAGGACAGCAACACACAATATAATGTGGATGTGGTGGAAGTAAGCTAGGTTTTCCACTAGTGTCAAAAATGCAGTGGGCTTTCCATTGCTCAGAAGTTCATCGCACAGCAAACTCAACTCTGCATTTTATATTCAAAAGCTTGTGGGATTTGTAGTAAGCTTCTCAACATATCCTGATCCCATTACACTTGAATATGTCCAAATATGGTTATTTGAGTGAAAGACAGATGTAGGAAATCCACAGAGGAAAGACAGAGCCCCAAGGTCAAGGGCTTGAAGGAGTCTGGGCCATGAGATAAGCCCTAGAATGATCAGAAGTGATTTACTGAGATTGGGTCCATCTCCAAATGCACTTTATAAAAATCTAAATTAACCCTTGGGTGGAAACCCAGAGGTCACACTGGAAAGTAATAAAATGCAAATATTATTTAAAATTAATAAACACTACCACAAGCTGGAACTTCTGCAGCCTTCTTTGATTCTTGATGGGAACCAAGAGAATCTCTTTTCCACTCATGGTCTCTGACTGATTCATATTGCAGAGGATGGTCCAGTAGAGGGTACCTCCAAAGTATTAAGAAGAGCTCAGCTTCGGGGACATCTTCCTAGTGACTTATGGTCAGAAGTGACCCCTATTACCTTGTGTATTTATGAGCAGCTGTTAGCCCTCGTGGTGACAATGAATGGAGAGCAGCAGCTGTAGCTGGTGTCACTGCCGCAGGCAGAGGTGGAGACCAGGTGCCTGGAAGATTCATTTGTTCAGTATTTACACTGCTGGTGCATACTCTGACGGGAGTAAGAGTGAGCAAAGCCTGACAGGAGAGAGACACAGAAGTCGGTAATTGAACATTCAGATGATTTCGGATAGGAGACCCATATCAGAGTGATGGTAAGGGGACAAGTAAGTGGAGGTGATAGATGATTTAGAAAGGGCTCACTGAAGAGGTAGCATCCAAGGACAGGGAGAAAGCAGCCACACGGAGATTGGGGGCAGAAATGTACATGGATGAGCCCCCCACTCCATTAGCTCCTCAATATCAGGGATAGAAGCAAGTGCAAAGACTAAAGTAGGAATCAGCTTGAGCTTTTTGAGGCCCAAGGAGAATAATATGCAATAAGGCAGGGAACAAGGCAATGCATGATTGTGTATGCCAATGATTTCGGACCAATCATGAGAGATTACAAAAAAAAAAAAAGAAGAAAAAGAAAAACAGACATGATGTCTTCTTGACCTGAGTAAGGTTCCCGTGTGGAGAATGGATTACAGAGAGGGGAATGAATGCAGTAGAAAGGTGAGAGATGACTGTGGTCTGAACTAGGTGCCATTTGATGGAAAGAAATAGGCGAGCTCAGGATGTGTTTTGGAGGTAGCACAAACAAGATCTCCCATGGTTTGGACACAGAGTGGAATGTGGTGTGATATACTGAGAAAGCCCATCTCTACCACCGACTGTAAGACTGGATAAAAGCATCCCTAGCACTGACTGTAAGACTGGATAAAAGACCAGGTGCGTTGCTGAGCAGGGATCAGGGTAAGTTTCTGCTTGCTGAACATTCAGGTCTTGGGGGGGGGGGGGAGGTGTCGTAAAATACTCTCAAGTATGCATGCTGAGAGATTGAGAGGAGACTTAACTCTTTGCAGTCTGCAATGACTGGGCTTGAGTGACATTTATGGCAAGGCTGGGGGTGACGGGGCAGCTCATGGATAGCTGATACATCACCACTGCCTGATGGATGTGAAGTAGCTCAGTAACTGGGAGTTCAACTGGGTTGACATAGGCTCAGCATCTAAACACTGAGCAAGCACCAATAAGTGGCCTGCAGGCTCTCTGTAGCACACAGCCATTATCTTCCTTAAAGTTCCCACTGTTGTTAGCTTGTGGCCATTGGCCATGACTCTTTGCCAATCTTTATGACTGAAAAGGAGGCTGATACCACTGGTTCCCATCTTCACTTCTGCCTGTTAACCTGTACTGAAGGCCTGCTGTGTACCAGACATTGTGGTTCTACCTCAAAGGAGCTCCTAGTCTTATTTCCACCATTCCTAAGCACAGATGTGCATGTCTGTGTATATGCAGATTTGATGTGTTGGTCAGTGATGGGCAGCGCCTATCCAGTTGTCCTGTAAGATGGTAATGGAGCTGAAAAATTCTGATCGCTTAGAGGATTTACACTTTTTTTATGTAGATATGTTTACATATACAAACATTGTGTTATAAATGCCTACAGTGCCCAGATTGGCATCAAGTCACTCTGTGATGTTTGCCCAATGACGGGTTTGCTTAAGGACACATTTCTTAAAATGAATTTCCATTTCACTAAGCAGTGTGTTGCTATACTCTGTTCCTAATGCAATGCTATTTCCCTAGCTTCCAAGTTCCTAACTACTCAGCCATATATGGGCAACACAGAATATGGTTTTTGCCTTCACATTTTTTAATTGAAAATTTAAGTATGAGACAGAGAAGTCCATAAAGTAATTATTTGGACTAATTATTAATTATGAAATGGACATCTAAACAAACAGCTCTAGCAATAGAATATATTAGTTCTTGGCCTGGTATTTGTGATAATTTTTTTAAAGTTTATTTATTTATTTGTATGCCAAAATGACAGAAAGAGAGCTTTCATCTGCTGGCTCACTCCCCTAATTGCCACAAGGTCAAAGTTGGGCTAGTCCAAAGCCAGGAACCTGGAATTCCATCTGAATCTTCAACATGAGTGGTGGGAACCTCAAGTGCTTCGGCCATTATCTATTGCTTCTAGAGCTTATGAACCACTAGTTGGGATTGGAACTGGCACTCTATATAGGATGCCCATGTCCTTTATGGTGGCTTAACATACAGCCCCACAATATCCTCCCTGTTCCTGCCTTTCCTGGCAGTATTACCTCCTATGTGCTGAACTTTATGAAATTGGTTGCTGCAAGTGTTACAGAACATCAGAAGAGAAGCAGCCAGCCCTTCATTTGAAAATTTAAATTCCCTTCTGATATTTCCTTCTTCTTCTACTCTTACATTTGCCTTGTCCTTTTAACTTCTGCAGCTTTCCTTGGCATGACTGACAAAAGGTACACTAGGGCATATGTTTTGGATGAGTAATGCCATAGAACCACGTGTGGGTCTTTGCGTTTTGGTTCTTGCTGTTGCTCCCATCTTTCCTCAGCCCTTGGGGTTCACTTCTGGTGTGGCCCTGGGAGATTCAGTTAATTGAGTGACTAAGGTTCTTGCATTCTTGGTAGAAGGTGAGGGATTGAAACTGAATGAAGAAGCATTTATGCCCACGGGGTGATGTTTTGGCCTAGTGGTCAAGATGCCAGTGTTTGGGATCAAGTGCCTTGGTTTAAATCCAGCGTGAACTCCTGACTCTAGCTTTCTGCCAGTATAGACCTTCGGAGGCAGCCATGGTGATTCAGGTAACTGAGTCCCTGCCTCACACAGAAGACATCCCATTTGAGTTCCTGGTTCCTGGCTTTGATCCCAAAAGGGGCAGTTGTGGACATACGGGGAGGGAAAGAGCAGGTGGGAGCTCATTCTTCTTTGTCTCTCAGACACATAAATTAGAAGAGAAGCAACTGTGCCCTCTTTGGCCCGAGCAAGCCTGGCATGAGCCACAGTACAAGTCTGTTAATAGCATGGCCTATGGTTAATGTGAAAAAGAAGCTTTGCAGATTTCTTCTGAGCTGAAAGGGGAAGCAGTCCCCACAGTGAGTTTTTGCAGCACATTAGCTGCTCTGAAATCTCATTGCCAGAAGCATGCTTTCTACTTACACGCATTTCTCATTGTTTTAAAGGGTAAATAATGCTTTTCTGGACCGACTCCAAGGCAAAAGTCAAGCAGGTGGCCTCGGGCAGGCTGCAGGCTGTTGGAATACGAATAGTGGTAACAGCTGGGTGAGTTTTTCTTTTCCCTTTAAAAAAATCTTTAAAAGTCAAGGAATAAAAACAAGAATTTAAAAAAAAATATGTTGTGGCCTTCTTCCAGGTCTTGTTTTTTTAGATATGCTGTTCAGCTGTGTGATGGGGCAGTCAGGCAGAGTGTTTTCTGTAAACTCCACAACAGCATGCGAGAAAACAAGGAAGTCCAGACGTCAGCTCTGGCCAATCATAGTAAAAAATGGCTCCTGCCCTGGGTCCCCAGCGTGATGACCTTGCACATGTGGGATTTTCATCCCTCCTTGCCCCAGTCTATGACAAAATCAAATGAACGCTATTATTTTTCAGGACAATTCGAAATAACTGTGGTTATAAAAATTGTAAGCATTCTCTAGTAACATATTCCTTTTGTAAAACTAGCACATTGAAGAAACCAGTATTTAATTTTTCACTACAAAATGACTTTTTTTTTTTTAAAAAAAAACCTTACATCAAAAGGTACTTCTTGAAAATGAGAAGTCCTCACATATATCTGTGAAGAAAATCTTATGGCAGTGCCGTAGTGTGTGTGGGACTTACGTATTTTGTGTGTGCAGTTTGTTACTGATGCAAGACCAAGGCTTCAGGCTGTGTGGTCGTGAAGCCTGCAACGTGTACAGAATCAAAACCTGAGTTCTGTCAGTTTTACTGTTTAATTGAAACTCTGGTGCCTGTGTATTTACTAAAAATATATATGTGGCAGCAGAATGGTGTGGGTGGAGAGCGAGTGGGGAAGAAGGAGCAGATAGAAATGTTTGAACTGGAAATATACAACAGAGCACTTGCTGACCTGGAAACTCTGGAAGAAATACTTGAGGGGCAAAAAAAATCCCAAAAACCAAAAAAAACCAAAAAATCATTTTTGACAAGTCCATCTTTCGTCTGTGAGAGAAGTCTTACATGCAATTTTCCTTGAAAGGCATCTATTAATGAAAATCAGTGGATGGATTTTCCAAAATTTACATATTGAAGATATTTAACCATAGGTGAAGTTGCAGAGAACGCACCCTAGATTTGTCTACTCACCACTTGAACTCGTTATCTCATTATGGCTTAGGGACAAAAGGCAAGATAAGGCAAGGTCCATAAAGGACCTTATTTTAATGTAAACCTAAGTGACTTCATTCAGTCATATAAAATTGTTTACCAGCTATCTATGTTTGTTACTCCCAGATTTCCTTTTCTAAGTTAGAGCTCCTTCCAGTCTCTATACTTGTATCCAGTTGTCTCCTCAGTAGCTCTACTTAGCTATGTAACAGACATTTCAAGCTTACCAGGTCTAAAACTTTGATCCTCTTCACCCCAATGTTCTATCTGCACTTTTTCCTGTTTTCCAAACAGTACAATCTTCTCTCATATTTCAAGTATTCTCCAAAATGAGTAAGCATGTGAATGCAAGTTTGAATGAAAATCAGACAGTGACTGTACAGGGAAAAAATACACCTTGTAACTCATTGATTGAAAGAAGACCCAAAATTTTGACAGGCTCAGTATTGATACTCTTTTTTTGTTTGTTTGTTTGTTTGTTTTTAAAGAAAAGCTATTTTCAATTTGTAAGTCAGAGGCAGACACAAAGACATCTTCCCTCCATTATATCATTTCCCAAATGCCTGCAACAGCTAGGAGCAGGCCAGACTAAAGCCAGCAGCCAGGAACTCAACCTAGATCGCTCACAGGGGGGGCAAGGACACCTGCTGCCTTCCAGGTGTATGACAACAGGAAGCCGTAATCTGAAGCAGTCAGGGCTTGAACCTGGGCTCTCAGATAAAGCGTGATGGTGTCCCAGGGGGTATCTGAACTGGCATGGAGCGCACACCTCAGGACTGATTATTTGAGAAGCACAATATAGCCCGATCAAATTGGATTTATCCTGGAAATACAACTGTGGTTTATCATAAACAAACTACTGAGATAATTCATCCCATAAGTTACAGGGAAAAATCTACATAATCATCTCAAGAGCTAGAAAACATTTGATAAATTTCAGTACTCATTTATGGTAACAAAAATCTTGGCAAAATACAGAGGACATGCCTGCATCTAATAAAGGGACCCAAATCCTGTGTAATAATGAAAATGCATCCAAAACATTTCCTTTGAATCAGATGTAAGTCAAAATTGAAAAGGAAATATAAGTATAAATCACAGTTGATACCATTATCTACGAAGAAAATCCAAGCAAATTTATATTCAAATTATCAATAAGGCTCAAGAATGTTGGTAAGATATATAAAAAATAATTTTGTTTCTACATAAAAAATAAAAGATGTACTACTATAGAGAACTAACCAAAAGTACACATGACCCTTTGTTAAAAATGTTATAAAATTCAATGGAAAGATATTACGTAATAAGTTAAATTATAGCTTGTTGATGGATGTGATGAGCTGTCAAATAGCCTGTCAGTTTATCTATGTTGTAAGTAAAGCAAAGAGCCAAAAGTTGCCAAGGCACTCGTGCAGATTAAGATAATAGATGTGGGAACTTAGTTAAGTATTGAATGTAATATGCAGTTAGGAGACCCCATCATTTCTGCAATCATTGTGCATCTCAGTAGAGGTCAAGCAGGAGGAGGTCTTCAGGAGAATACTCCTTCACAATTGTGATAATTAAACATTCACATGAAATTAGGCCTCTTCCTAATACCATTGCACAAAATAAACTCCATATGGATTAAAACCTATGCATACAAAGGAAGACTTTTTGATTCTAGGAGAGAACAAAAGAGATTATATATAAAATTGATCTGGGGAAGAATTAGTTTTGAACCTAAAGTACAACCCCAAAGAAATATTTTATATCTACATTAACATTTATATCTACATTAACAGTTCACTGAAGCATCCCATACAAAAGATCAAAGAGAAACCATAAACTAATCTTTTGTTTAGGTTATGTTTTGCAAATGACAAATAGACCAAAGTTGGTATTTAGAATATATTAGGAAAGTGTCATCAATTTAGACATTAGTAGGTGAGGTTTGGGCTTCCTAGAAGCCAACTCGTGACTGAGTCTTGGAGGAAATATTGGAACTGAAAAGAAGCTAAAGACAGAAAAGAGAAGGAAGGTAGCAAACATGATATAATTAAGATCACCAAAGAAAGAGGCAGCTGTTTCTTGCAATGTCACATAGACACTTAACAGAATCTGTGTAAATGATGGATAGACAGACATTTGTTTTCTAAAACATATTGAAATCCCAGGCTTACATAACTCAACCTATCCATTTACTCTTTAATAATGTATAATTGCTTCTATAGCCTTAGAACGTGTTTTGATGTTCTAAAGTCCCCTGTTAGTTTTCATGAGGCACCTAGGGTGAATTTTTTTAAAATTGCTACAAGTAGGTGAGAACTTTTGGAATGCTGTGGGAGGTCTACATCCGTGTTTTCAAGGATGAATAAACATTGCCCATGACCTAGGAGTCAACCTAGGATTTTAGTTAGAACAAACAGTGGTAACCTGTATCCCAAATGTAGCTTGGCCAAGTAGTGCTGGAAGTCTGGTGCCAATTCCATGGCCATTTGCACGTGGCGGGGGTTGGGACTCACTCATTGGTCTGTCTTTGCCTCTAAGTTCTCTTAGAAGTCACCTTCCTGTGACTAGCTTTCCTTGCCTCATTTCCATTTAAATTGCTATGCTCCACCATGTGTTCATCCTGTCCTTGCTGTAAACGTGGAGGCAGATGACATCATATGGAAGCACTGTGTTTGCGACCCTTGTGAGGCTCTCTCCGACACAGCCAATGAGAGAGAGGTCACTCTACAAGCCATTGAACTCTTCAGATGCCATTTGTGAACCAAAGGCCATGTCACAAGCATGAAATCATTTTGTTAGTCCTTTAAACCACTAAAAGAGGAATCATTTTAGCCTGATGGTGGAAAAAAATGCTGTTTAATTGAAAGAGATTTTGTTTTGAACAACAGAGATTTAGAATTAAATGTTGCTGTTGATGCTTAATTTTTGTCTCATTTTTCTCCTAGGGTGAATGAGAAATGTTCATTCCCATCTGGCCTTCGTCAACTGACCTTGAAAAACCTCCTGTGATGCCATTCTTTAATGTGATTTTGTTCAACCTCAGTGTCTTTAACCTTGGTTTCTGCTGCCCACACACTCTCCTCACCAGGCTGGGACGATAGGCGTCTTCCTGTCATCACGGATGCGTGGTTTTAAGAACTGATTACGGCACTTATAGTTAACCTCCACTGCCAGGGAAATGTTATGTTATTTTCCTAATTGGTTTTGCCTGTTAGTGGAAGAGTAATTGGAGCATTGTTAATATGACAAAGAAGGGGGGCAATCCCTTGATCCACTCAGGTTAGTAAAACCTGTGGGTGCTAGCAGGCTTATCTCTCTAAGCCACTGATTCTCTGGTGAGGTTTGAGGAAATTCTAGGGCTTTTTGATATTTTCCTGAATTTATAGTACAAATATCACCAAAAGAAGAAATGTCTTATATTCTTTTAAATGAAATATAAATAAATCTTGGTCACTTTATATAAATTAGTTGCTTTATTAAACAGCTCTTGAATTTTTATTCTCTTGAGGGGGGTCTCATTTTAATATTCTCCTTTAAGGTCCGTGTTGTGCAGGTGTGTGTTTAGCATGGTGATGACATCATACTTGGGATGCTCACGTCCTATCTCAGAGCACTGCTGTTGTGTTCTTGCTCTTTTGCTTCCAATTAGAGCTTCCTGCCAGTGCACATCTGGGAGACAGCAGGTGGCAGCTCAGATATTTGGCTTCTTTTCTAGAAACAGATAGGAGTTCCTGGCTCTTGGTTTTGGCCTGGTCCAGCCCTGACTCTTATTTAGGGAGAATGAATCCATAAATGGAAGATCTTTCTCTTTCAAATGAAATGAAACTAGACAGAAACCACTGTGATCATGATTAGATCTTGCTTTGATCTTGATTTACTTACTAGTGTTACTCTCCTGATGCTTGCAATGGGACAGTTTATTTCCTAAAAGGTTTTTTTTTTTTTTAATGAAAACCAACTGGACACAGACATTGACGGCTTATGTGGCTTGTGGGTGTTTTAGAAACTTGCTGCTGCTTTGCTATTTTCTATTGCTCATTCGATAGACTTTTCTGTTTGCTTCCGTGACCTTGAACAAGTGCATATACTGTAGAATACAAAAATATTGATTTTTTTTATGCATCATAATCTAGCCTGTCTTCTCTTACCCCTCCTCATGTTATACAGGAAAGTACTGAGTTCAGCCTAAGCATTAAGTCTGCAAAGAGCAAATCATTCTGTAAGTATACAACTAACAGACTGTGTAGCACTAAGAAATCTATGATACCAGTTGCTCTGTTGAAATTAGCTTTTCACATTTCTAAATACAGGAAAACATTGGGATTTAAAATTCATGAACCAAGACACAGACTGGAGCCTCCACTCTGGGCAAGGGCACATGGCAGAAAGGCCACACTGAGTAGGGCAGGGGCAGCTGGGAGCAGATGGTGGCCAGGCATTTCACTGGGGATAATAATGCAGATATTCTTGGTTTACCTCTTCTGTGCCAGCTGAAGCTCTGTAAGTGCTGTTGACACCAATGTAAAACGTTTGGTCCATTTGCAATCCTTGTCCCTGCCTTACGTGGGGAAAACAAAATCCCTCTGCCTGTGTGGAAAACACGGCCAAGCTGACTACATGCATGGCTGTCATGGGCATTTTACTGCTCTGGCATTTTGCAGCCATTTCTGCCCTACACCTGCCAGTCTGGCCTGTTTGCAGTCATGTGCTCGTTTTTATGTCTGGCCTTCCTATGCCTCACATGGGGAAAGGACTGTGTTCATTGAGGACGCTCAGGGAAGTAGGTATCATTTTCTTTTCCACTGCCTGATGTTACTGTTCTTGGAAACAAAGGTGTTATTCCATTGCTTTGTTCGTTCAAATTGTACAGATATGTACATTATGGCTTCATGACTGAGATAAAGTAGCACACATGTGGGTTTTGAACATCTTCCTTGAATAATGTTCTATGTGGACAGAGGGAACTATGAAAGCAATGGAAAGGCTGTCTTTGAGAAGATACCATTTTGTTTTTCATGTTTTATCTGCCCTGTTGGCCAACTGGATTGGAACTTGACCTGTAGGTAATTTGGGATAGGATATTTCAGAATTTCATTCAATATTATTATGTGTTTAAAATATTTTCTTTCTGAGAAAAAGAAAACTCTGAAGAAATGAGTATTTATAAAAATAGCTTGTGTATTGGAACTTAAGATAAAACAGGTGAGCAATAAAAAGAAAAAGTGTACTGAAAATTTCCAGGTTTTATTCACAGGTAATCACAAGACACTATGCAGCATGCGTCTACTTCCAAATCAAAGTTGGACTCCCAAGGAACTGGTTAAGTATATCTTGACAGTAGGATGTTGGACTCTGTCATTGTCCATACCTGCAATGTTAGGATACACTTAAATAGTAGAATGATGGACTAATGACTGTTGCTGAGGGAGTATGCTATTGTAATAATGTAAGGGAAATCAGTGGAGGCGGGGATATATGGGAGGGAAAATCCCAGAGCTTATAATATAAAATAATAAAATAATAAGATAGTTTTTAAAAGAGTTATTTGGAAGAGTTACAGAATGAGGCGTAGAGACAGAGAAAGGTCTTCCATGCTCTGCTTCACTCCCCAGATGGCTGCAAGGGTTAGGACTGGGCAAAGCCAAAGCTAGGAGCCAAGAGCTCTTCCAGTTCTCCCACATGGGTTCAGGGGCCCAAGCACTTGAGCCATTTTCTATTACTTTCCCGGGCAATTTGCAAGGAGCTGGATTGGAAGTGGAGCAGCCAGAACTTTGGACCCAGAACTGGCACGTTGGCACTGCACGCAGTGGGTGAACACATTGCCAGCAGGGTTCTTTTTTTTTCAACTGGATGAACTAGTGCGTATAGTTAGTTCTATGCTGATATGAATGCAGCAAGATTGGAGTGTTATATAATAAATTTGCATGAGGAAAGATGTTCTCTTCAAGACCATAGGCATTACTGAGAATACATGCACAGAAAGGCATTTCTCTAAGGAAGAAGTTCTGTTCTGGAACCCTGTCGTTTTGTGACTTTCCATTGGTTAACCATGACTTCCAAAAGGGAGCATGGATAGAGGCTTTGGAAAAATGCTCTCGGAATCATCTGCCCCAAGATGAAGGCTTCAAGGTACATAAAGGCAAACGAAGGGGCACTTGCATTATATTTATTGCCGTGCTGTCCTGCCGTCTGCTGGGACAGAGGGTGCAGGGTGACCAGCCCTGCAGCATGCACGTGTCTTGGGCAGCTTGGTTCTGACCACCCCAGTGGCAGCTGCTCAGCGGCACAGTATGTGCTCGGCGTCCCCACCCTCCCTCCCTGGACACTATTAGGAACGGCTGAGCTGTACAAACATTCAGTTCATCATCAAAGACGGCATTTCAGCCTCCATTCAGGGCATCAGCACAAGGCAAAGCGCTGATTAGAAAAATCTAATTGTTGTGTTTTAGGAACCATAGTTGTGCCAACATGTGTGTGTTATCACTGAGAGAACAGCAAAAACAAGAGATAGTTAATAGCGGACATTGATATTTTAATTGGACATTGTGAATTAAGAAAAATTGGAAAGCGGCATTCTTATATAGTGTTATTTATATTCCAGTCTGTCTTGAATATGGTGCTATGGAAACAAAGGTGTGTGGTACAGATTGTATCATCAGGAGATGGAACAATCGGGATGGATTAGGTTGTGGGCCCACAATAGATCATCCCTCACATCTGCCTGGATTAGTAACGTTCTGGATCATGCTACATTTCAATCCAGGCCCCAAGCTAACGAGGGTTCTGTGTCCTCTTGTACTTGCCCTGCAGCAAGGCAAAGAGACAATTAAAAGCATTCTTTTTTTCTTAAGGTTTTTGAAAAATTGTAATTTCAATGATACAATTTTATAAGAATTCCTCCCCTCCTCAATCTCCCTCCTCATTTCCCCTCCCTGCCATTTCACCCATAACATTACAGTAGTATAACCCTTTATTAACAGTTACAGGTTTAATGTTCTGCTATTTATGTGTATGCTGGTATTAGTAAGCATAGGCAAAGATAGAAAACCTAGTATCATATTGTCAAGGTATATTTAACTGTTTTATTGGGTGTATTCATATATTCATGGGTGAACTGTGTAATGCGGACTAGCACACCAGGAAGTGGAGATATACTGCACTGCACATCTCTTCTGCTGAATTAAAGGACTCTCAATTAGATGCTTTCCCCAGGAAATGTCACCTGCTGTTTATGTTCATCTTTCATTGGCCAGATCAAATCCCTGCCTCTAAGGTGTAAGAGAAATAAAATGCTACCATGTCTCAGGAGGAGGAAGAAAACTAGGACTGGAACTAGAACTAGAGCATTTTAAAGTAATCCTGACTACCCCAGGAGATGCAAATTATGACTGAAAAAGTGAGATTAAAATGTCAAAGCTCAAAATAAAAAACATATGCATGTCTTAAGATGGAAGATATATATAAAGATGAAAATATACATACATATATATGTGCGCACACACACACATATAAAACAATAGCAAAAATCCAGTTTAGTTTGAAACCTATGGAGGTGCTAGTATACACCAGGCACTGGGCTAGGCTTGGAGACCACGAAGTTACAAACCAGACATTCTAGCTCTAATTTGAATTAGGGATACACACTGATTATGTGAGGAAAAGAGGAGAGAGGGACTGTGAAAAAATACCATAAGTGGGATGTATGTGACAGGGATGCAGTATAACTGTTTTGTGTGCCTTATCAAGTAACTCAAACTTTGGAGAAGTTATCAGTAGGGAATGGATCCAGAGTTTTGTTTTAAGTAAATCATAAATCATGAGCGGTCCCGTGGAAGACAGATTTGAAGGAGGCAAGTCCTGAGTCAGAAGAACCATTTAGGATGGTGGAGGTGACTCTATTAGCCGGGTGACCCATGAGAGTGGTATATGGATGTGGATGGGGAGTCAGGAATGGGATTATGGACTTGGAATATAAACAAGCAGGACCTTCTCAGGGACTGAATGTAGACAGTGACAGGTTACAGGTGAATTTCATACTTACATCCTTAGTGAATTCTCTGCTGGTGATGTGGTGACATAGGCGAACTGTGGCATTTCAGTACAAAGGAGCCCTGGTAGGGTTAGTTCAGACTTTCTAAGGCTGTGAGCCCTGGTCTGGGGCTTTCTCTTGTTGAGTGGCACCCAGCACATCTATAACCCAATGATGAATTGTTAAATGAATAGATGTGATGGAGGAGTAAGACTTTCACAAATGGAAAAAAAAAAAATTTGGCAGTGGTTGGTGGGATATGGGGACATTGATGAAGAAAAAAATAGAGCTACAGAGACAGTGGTGAGTGTGGCCGGGAAGGCAGAGCATCAGTGGACAAATGTGGGTTGCTGCTCAGTGTGAAAGGAAGTGGAAGTTCAGATGTAGGAGAAGAGAAACCTCCTAGAAATAACTTGTCTTAGTGTTATGGGATTACTCACAACTATGACACAACCCCAGGTGTGACAGTAAAGATTGGAGAGACCTGAGTTGAGACAAGCTGGTCAGACGTTATGAACAACCCCAGGCCCTGTCAATGGCAGCTGTTAGCCCAAACCAAAGAGCTGGCCTTTTCTATTTGTACAAATAGAGTGTTGGCAATGTCTGTCCTTTAATCCCCGCAGATGGTCAGCATTTCCATGAATGGTAGTGTGTTGGAAGAGAAAGAACAACTGGGTTGCTTGAAAATATGGGATTCTAGCCTGCCATTTACTAGTGTCTAAATCCCTTAAATCCATATCTATATTACAGGATAATCTTAGACAAACTGGTGGTGTGAATTTTTTTTGTTTTTATTTTTTAATGATACAGTTCTATGGGCTCAGGGATTTCTCCTTCTGCCTTCCCCATTTCTTCACCCCAGTGTTTTCCCCATGTTATTAAAACAGTATAGTCCTGAAGAGATGAAAACTTAAAAAAAACCCCACAAAATTCCTGAGATATAGTTTCCGCTGGTCTTTGTTGGTGAGATATATCTCCTATAGGCAACAAATAGGTGGGTTTTATTTTTTTTAAATCCAGTCTACTTATCTATGACGTTTGTTTGATGAACTTAATCCATTTATATTGAGGGTTAATATGAATGG